GTCGCGTTTGAAATAAATCTTTTCAAACTCTTAATTAAAGTTACGCAAAACACTTTTAAATTAACAAATTACTACTAACGATTTTTTAACAAATGAAAAATTTTTATCAAATTTATTAAAAAGTGTTGTATTTAATATTTTTAAATTGTATAAAAGTTTATTTTTTCAAAAAAGTTGCAAAAAAAATTTGTTTGAAAAAATAACATAGTCTTTTTAAAATAGTAATTTTTAATAATTTCATGCTCTAATTAATGTCTAGTTAAAAACAAGGTTTCCAACTCTTTTAATCGTAAAAATAGGAAAAAAATAAATAAATAAAATGCGTCTGTGATTTGAATTAAATAAACTGCCAACAAGCAATTTAATTTAATTTTAATTTGAGCATTGTAACTTTTTCATTAAGTGCTTCACTTAACAAATTTAAAAATTATTATAAATGATTTCAACTTATTCATTCCTCTCGTAAATGAAAAAAAAAAAATGTTTTTTAAAAATTAAATTGTTTAAAAGATTTTAAAAAATTGTAAGTTATAAAAATTAATCGTATGAACATTACAAAATGCTTCAAAACTTTTCCATTAATCAACAAAATATATGCTTATATAAGTAAAGCTATTTTATACTCTTGTATAATTCACATAAATTGTGTAAAAGCTAGTAGTCGCAAAAGGTTTTGAACTTATTCATAAATTAAAGAAACTTTAAAAAAACCATTCTAAAATTAATGCTTTGAAAGATTTAAACGTTTAAATTTATCATGCCTACACAAAAAATAATTTATAAAAACATTTTTTATTAATTTACACAATCGTTTATGTAAACAATCATTAAAAATAATTAAATGGTTTTATTTTAAACAGTTTTATTTTAAAGCTTTTCACGTAAAATAAAAACTTTAGAAAAGATCAACGATCAAAAGATATTCATAACGTAACACTTTTTATTGCATTTGAATTGTTAAAACATCAAAATAGCAGTGGTCAAGTTGTAAAGAAAAAAAACTATTAGTGTGGTCAGTTACAGAGTGTGATCGCACGCCATTCCTGTCCAAGCCTGTGAATGCTATCATTTCAAACCATGCTTATTTTATAATATTGATTATTATCTTATTTCTGTGATACTATTACCAACTTTTTAGAAAATTTAGAAAAATAAATTATAATTTTGAGCCAACACTGACATTTTGTTGTTTGTAAAGGTTAAATTTTGTTATGAGGATTGCATTTCATTTATTTGGCTTTTTGTTCATTATTCAATAAGTATTTGATCTAAATTAAATATGATTATAATTCAATACTTTGTTACAAGATAAGTATCTTTATATATGAATACATATATGAATCTTTTTAAATTTTCTGATGTCATTTTTTTGTTTGCGCAATCTAAGTTATATATGTTTATAATTTGCATATATGTTTATATTATGTTTAAAGTTTAAAAGTTTTTGATAAATATGTGTATGTGGTAATATGTGTTATATAATTGTTTTATTAATGTGTTTTAATAGTATAAAATCTATTTTATGTAATGTATATATAATTGTTATATGAGGTGTCTATATATATTATATAAAGTTAAATAAAGATTTTATGTTTTATAGTTAGTATATATGTTTATATTATGTTGTTTCCATGTTTTCAAAGTGGTGTGACTTGGCAAATGTGTAGAGCAAGATTTGCCAACTTTGCCAGTCAAGCAGTGTTACTGCTTTAGGTCTAGGTGTTGTCTAGCCTTCATTATTAGTTATTCTGGAAACACATATCTTTTAATAATATTTTGCGTAATGTTGTTACTTACATTGCTGATGTTGCTACATTTGGCTTGCCTTTATATTGGTGTCTAAAAATGATTAATAGGTGGTTTCATTATTGGAACTCACTGCTTTTAATCATTCACTATAAGCCATTCAAGACAAATTATTTTGCCATAAATACATTTTGTTTATATCAATTTGATTTTTTTGATTAGTTTATATCTCAATTTAATTTTTTAGAACCATAATGTACCAACATAAATTATTTTTTAAACTATTACTCTGGTATCACAACAGCTTATCTCTTTTAGGTACATTGATTTCAATTAATATATGATGTTTTCTTTGTATTTACTTATTCATTACATTTTTTCATTTCAGATTTATCATATGATGTATTTATGTGATATATTAGTATTAATAGATATTTTTATATACTATTAGTAGATATTTATTATATATTATTTATATATACTATTAGTAGATATTTTAAAATATAAATATTTTCAAAATATCTACAAATAGTTAGTCCAGTCAACATTTAAGTTCAATGTTGCATATATCATTTAGTTTTTCAGGCTTTTCTAAATGCGTTTCTTGTTATTCACATGGTTTTACAGGCAAGTTCCGCAGCAAATTTGAGCTGAAAATTTTTTCTTAGCTTTTAAGGAGAATTGATTTTGTTCTTTGTTTAATTTAATTTGTTTAAATATAGAAGTTTTAATAAATGTTTGTTTGTTCTAGGTTTTTTACTTATCTGTTTTCAGTTTCTTAAGAACTAGACAACTTAGCTAAGCAAGTTTTGTTTTATTGTTTAGTGCAATAGGAAAGAGCTGAAAGCTATTTTTTAGAGCAAAAAAAAGAGCTGAAGTGCTTTTAAGTCACTTGTTATTTTTTTTAAATAGAAGAGTTAATAATAATACAAATTTTTAGACAGAAGAACTAGTACTGATTTGAGTAAATTTACTACTTTGCTTTATTTTATATTAGATATATTTTATGTATTTAACATGAAAAAATGACTGTAATTTTTTGACATGTGAGTTTATATACATAAATGTGCCTATAATTCAGTATACTTTATATTTCTCTGTATGTATATAAATTTGAAAAATAATGAATAGAAAAAATAAATTCCTGCTAAGGGTAGTTTTAAAAAAAATGATAATGTTTTCCATATTTCATTGTTTAAAGTGTTATGCTTTTTTTAAAGGGTATGTGAATATATATATATATATATATATATATATATATATATATATATATATATATATATATATATATATATATATATATATATATATATATATATATATATATATATATATATATATATATATATATATATATATATATATATATATATATATATATAAATATATATATATATAATTATTCTTATTACTTTAAAGTAAGATATACTGACTAACATTGCTTAATTTTTAATACAAGATTGTGCATTTATTATTTTTGTAAAAGTTTTTGTAAGGTAAAAATAATTTTGTGCATTGTAGTCTAGATTCTTTGTTAACTTAAAAATAATTGACCTAAATAGATAGTGTTTTATATTTTTATATTTAACAAGTTCTGCAATTTTTTGCTGTCCTTAAACTCTTACGTCAGCATTGTTGACCCTAATTCCTAGGGCTTCATATATAAACTTATAAAAAGATATGGATTTCAATTAATCTTAATTTTTATATAGTGTTTGATAAGAAGAGATCACATTTTGTAAGATTCCTATATGTTCATTTATTACTTAGTTGTAGTAATATTAATATTACTGGTAACGTGTTTAATGATAACAGTGAAATCGAAATGAATAATTTTAGGCTTAAAGATGTAGTTAGTGTAAGTGCTAATACTTGAAAATTGTTGTTTTCAAATGAAAGAGATAGATCTAGGCAAGCTGAAATTAATTTTTGTAAGAAATGCTGCTCAGCGAGCAGAAAACTTATTTGCTAGAGTTCATTGTCAAGCAATGTTAATGTCTGTTAATTTTTTTATTATTTCAATCATAATTATGTTCTTTTTTTTAGTTGTTTTTGTCATCACTTGATTACTTTGCTTACTGTTGAAACAGTAAGCAAAGTTTTAATTTTTTAAATTTAATATGATGTGAAATTTACTATATTAATCATTAGTCAACAGTTAGAGAAGCTGGAACTTAATTAAGAAATGCTGGAAACTAACTTTTAATTAAGGTAAAAATAATTTTGTCTACTGGTAACATAATAAAGCCAGTTGCTATTATTTATTGCGTACTTTTTTTTACTTTTTTTAACATGCTACTTTGGAAACTTTTTTTCTCTCTCTCTCTTAGATGAGACTTAAATGAGAAATTAGTTCAGGGAATAATAAAACTTATGTAATTACTGAGCTCTTACGTGTTTCTTAATACCACAATTAATAACGATAACATGTATAAGAAATACTTTACGAATTGCTATTTTATGATATAATTGTTCAAACTGTTTAACTATAATTGCCTCTCAATTGTTCAAATATTGTATTTTAAATCTTTTTAGTTGAAGTATTTTAGTTAATAAAAAGTTGTGGTGTTATTTGCCAGTGTAATTACGTTGTGTTGTCTAGCCTTTTTATAATCTTTTCTTTTTTAGTTATTCTGGAGACACAGTAATATGTGCTTACAAATATTTTATGCTATGCACTATTGTTATTGTGTTTTGTGTTGATAGAACTAGGCTGTTATAGCTATTTTTTTATTTTTTATGCAAATAATACTTTTGTAATTAAAAAAATGTAATTTTTTTTTTCATTTCTTTTTTTAGGTATTGGCAGGCTTTACATGAGTTTCTTTTTTTGGTAAATGCTGTGTTGTGATAGATTTTAAAAATAACTTAACTGATGTTAATGCAGTCTTTATGCTGTTAGCTATAAACAATGACATTGCTGATAGGGAGTCATACTTAAAACGTCATCTATAGATAAATTTGTATTTATTTTTTAAGATAATATATCAAGTTCTTAATATTTCTTTATTGTTATTAATGATTTAATTACTAATAATCCATATTACGGGTTGCTTACTGCTAGTATATATCAATAAATACATCTGAAAAAAAATACAATACATCTGAAGAATAAACACAGTAAAAAAAGTAAAGTAATCAATATAAATCAGTGAAAAAAGTAAAGTAATCAATATAAAGTCTTAGTGAGACCAAACACTTTTTTCATTTGATTTAATTTAGAAAATATAAATTCAAATATTATTAAAAATTACCTCATCAGACAAACGATTTTCATTAGAACCAATATGAGAATTTAGGCCTGCCAAACTATACAAAACACAAGCTTGTTCAAATTTTATATCTTTGTAGGACACTGGTTCAAAGTTGTAAACATCATACCTGAGAAAAATTATTAAAGTATATTATAAAAGTCATGAAAAAAATCAAAAGTAAAAACTTTAAAATTATTTAGATGTCAATAATATTCATTTTATTCTAGTTGAATTTTTTCACTTTTGTCTTTTTTATAACAGCTGTGCATAACTTTGTTTAGCAAATTATAAAAAAATAAAAGAACATTTTAACATAATTTTAAATGAAAAAAGTACCAAATGAAAGTCGTACAAGCAACACCACCTTCTCGCATCGGAAATCTTGCAAGTAGATATTGCAGTTGTACATAATACTTGTGGAGAATATTGCATCCTTGTTTATCATGTGGGATGTTTGAAATACTCTAAACATATACAAAAGTTTTTCATATTATTTTAAATCAATTTTTAAGAAACAAAACTTAATATCTGAACCTAATACTCTAGTATTAAAAACTAATAAATATGTAACGTATGCAAAAAAAGTTAAAACAAAAATACAATAATGAAAATAAAAACAAAGTAAATGAAAATTATTTAGGTAACTTTTACCTTTCTTAATTGGGTTATTTGATTTATTTCATTTTGATAGCTGTTTGGATCTTCATGATAAAAATCTTGAATATACTAAAAAGAGGTTTATGTTAAAATATAAAGTAGATGACTCGGTCTTGGCAGGAATAAATGAGCACAAGCACAGAGAAAAGCTCTCCTAAAACAAAATTGGGGAGCTGTGCAAGCTACTCCTCATATAAATCAGCGCTCTTTTTAACTTTAATTTTTTTTTTGCAACAACCCTGCTTTTTAAAAAGCATTGCAGTATAATATGCAATTAGTTTTTTTATAAATGACATTGTGTTTTTTGTTTTAATTACAACGATAATTATACTTTCGTAAGAAAAATTATACTTTTGTGAGAGCCGTAAATTGCTCCTGTAAACCGTTTAAGGGGAGTGTGGACGAGAGATAAAGCTAAAGCTCTCGCTTCCTGCTGAGGCCTATATATATATATATATATATATATATATATATATATATATATATATATATATATATATACATATATATATATATATATATATATATATATATATATATATATATATATATATATATAAAATATATATATATATATATATATATTTATATATATATATATATATATATATATATATATATATATACATATATATATATATATATATATACTATATATATATATATATATATATATATATATATATATATATATATATTAATTATTCACCTCCCCAAGGCCCGAGGGGGCCACTACAGTCGATCATATAAATATTGTTTATTAAATAATCGTGGTCAAGTTGTCAAATAATAAAATCATTTTTGTGGTCAGCAATAGCACTCGATCGCACGCCATTACTGTCCAAGCCTGATATATTATATGCGTTACTGAAAAATTGTTTTAAATTTAATAACTACGTAAGAAATTAAAGAAACTTAAATAGAAAACAATAATAATAGTTTAAATAATTTGTGTGTTGTTTTTATTTTTGTTTTTTCTAAGTGGTTATTATTATTGGCAACAAAAGTCATTAAGTCAAAAAAAAAAAAAAAACGGTTTTAGGTATAATCAGATGTAAACTTGAAACTTTTCTATACAAGTTCAAATTAATTGTCAAGCAAAAGCACGGTTTTATTAAAAATAAATCATGCTTAAAAAATCTGCTTGAACAAATCTACTTGAAACACTTGATTTTATTTCAACTGCCTTAGAAAATGGTAAACCTGTTGATGTTATTTTTTTGGATTTTGCCAGGGCATTTGACACAGTGCAACTTAAAAGGTTGTTGCTTAAACTTACAGCTTATGGAATATCTGATCTGATAATACAATGGATTGAAGCATTTTTAAAAGAAAGAAAACAAAGAGTTGTGATAGACGAATAAACAATAAAAAATTTCCAGTACATCAACTCTTTCTTTGCAATAAGATCTTGATTTAGCTTTTAAGTGAACTCAAGACTGGCTTGTGAAATTTAATATTTTGAAATGTATGGTCATGCACTTTGGCCAGAATAACAAAAAATCACCCCTTTATATCAATGAACAAAAGTTAAAAATAATAGAATCTGAAAGTGATCTTGGAGTAATCTTCTCAAGCAATCTAAAATGGAAAAGTCATGTAATAAAATGCGTATGTAAAGCCAACCAAATGTTGGTTCGGATTAGAAAATGCTTCGTTTGTTTAGATATTAGACTGCTGAGAATACTTTATGTTTCTTTTGTGCGACCACCAGGCCTTCTCAGGAGACGCGTGCGGTCGCACGCTTTGAATGACCACGTATATATATTTTTTTGTTGATAACATGGCCACGATTTTTTTTGCATTTATTAAAAATGACGCATTTTAAAAACGCGCTAAAAAAACCAAATTAATTGCTCATCTTTTTTTTATTATTATTAATAACTCATTATTATAGTTATTAATGAGAAAATAAAAACATTAAAATAACATATATGGACAATTCCATTTATAACTTACGTTAACAACTTTATCAAATATTTGCTTATCTAAACTTTTAAATTAAACTTTTAGCAATTTTGTATGAAAGCTGTTAGTTTAATAAATAAAATAAGCTTAAAAGTTTTGAGTTCGGCCAAAAGAGAGCAAACTTATTACTAAAAATGCCACTTGTACTTATGTTCACAAAAAACAAGGTAAAAAAACAAATTCAACTTATAGGTCTTATTTCTGCAAATCAGTAAAGCAGTTTGTATTAGAAACTTTTACAAAATGCAGAGAATTCTATACCAATTTAAAATTTTTATAAAAACTTTTTTTAAATAAACTTGTTTTTTTGATACTGTATTTATATATATATATATATATATATATATATATATATATATATATATATATATATATATATATATATATATATATATATATATATATATATATATTTATATATATATATATATATATATATATATATTTATATATATATATATATATATATATATATATATATTTATATATATATATATATATATATATATATATATATATATATATATATATATATATATAAATATATATATATATATAATAATAATAATAATAATAATATAATGGATAAAAAAAACAGCTGCATACAAACTAAATTTTTTCTGCATAATATTTCGATCTGTTTTAGCATAGATTGTAACCAGACATTAAAAAAAAAAGAATTGAATAATATTTGTTAATTTAATACTAACATTGTTATTTAATAATTTATGGCTTCTTTTTAATGTCATCTTTGACATTTTTTTGTAGATTTTTTTTTTTTTTTTTTTTTTTTGTATTATATTTTATGCCTAATGATCTGTGCAAAAATAAATCGAAAAATTATGAAACAAAAAAAATTTAGTTTGTTCACAGTCGTTGTTTTATGCTTTATATTTTAAATACGTATATTCATATACAATAAGATATGATATTGAAACATAAATCCTGGTTAGCCATGATTTTGAATTTAAAAGTTCCTTTAGATAAATCTGATCTAAAAGAACCTTTTTGGTTTTAAGTCAAGTTACTGTACTTAACTTTTACTTTACTTAATATTAATTTTATTTTTGCTTTTTTTTAAATCAGTACTTTTCTGTAGTAAAAACTAGTATTTTAACAAAAAGCTACTGTATAATTATAAAAATGTATGAAAACAAATATATGAGTAAATATGTGTTAAGACAATGTACCATCAAGGGTCATACTTTACTGATAATTCAATTAAATCATAGAGATATGATATATACTTTTATGCTGCTTGTTGTTTTAAGTTAGTTGTAATTTAAAAAATTCTTTTCTTAAATAATATTATATAAATAACTTGAATGCTCTCAGTTTAAAAAAGAATACATACTTTTTTTAAAGGTTTTTCGAAAACATCTTCTGTTGAGACTGGTTCTTTTAAATCAAAACTAATCATAAGTTGTTTAGGACATCCCTCCATTATATCTCTTATTTATCCAATAATTTCACTCATTACTATTTAGTTGACTATATTTCTAGATCATTAACTTTCATATCAGCTTTTAAACCCCACTTGTTTACAAGTAATCACTGCTGGCAAACAGCACTAAAATTTTCATAAGTTCAAGTATTAGTAAATTATAAATATTAGTAAAATCCGGTAAAAATTCTAATACAGTGACGTCATAAAAAGCATAGTGTACTGTTTTGCATAGTTAAATAAAAAATATTTTTAATTAAAAATAAAAAAATTGTATACTAAAACAAATACTTACTTATAAGTTTATTTTGAATTAATTTATGAACTAAAATTTTATATACTTAATAAAATAGAATTTTAAAAACTAAAAAAAATACCATGTGAGTTCAAGGGAGTCAAAACCGACGCGCATGCTAAATGTGGCCATAGTTAACACGAAGGTTATACACGTGCAACGTACTTGATCAAAAATGGAGGCGTATCGTCGTGACTGTCGAGCATCTTCTTTTACTCACAATAATCTTTATTTTGCTCTCTTATCCATAGATGGGCGGTTAAGAATATGGGATGTTCTATCCGGGAAAATTCTTCAAGAATTTTCTTCAGCTTCTACAGTAGAGTCATCTTGTACATGTCTATGTTGGACACGAAATCGAGATCCAAAAGAGAAGAAAAAGAAGGTTACTTTAAAGAGTTGTTGTTGGTATTGTGAAATCTTAATGCCTTAATGTAAATTATATAAAAAGTTGTTTGAATATTATGGTTTTAGGATTCTAAAGCTAAAAGAAAAAAGTTGGAAGAAATAAATAATCACGATGTTCCTGAATATCCTTCACTAGTAGTAGGAACAAAAAATGGCACATTATTCATTTACAATCCAAATATTGGTGAAATAAGCACGGTTTTTGTATGTATTTATTCTAGCCTTCGTTTTATATTTCAAGAATATTTAAAAGCTTTAAACAAAACTTTTTAGATTAAACTGAGACCTTGATATTACTAATCATTTTAGATTAAACTTAATAATTTTAAATTAAAGATATTTAATATTAAAATAAATCTTAAGTGCTTCAGCTTCATTAATACCGAAATTGTTATATAAACAAGTTAAGAATATTATCAACTTTTGATCCTCCACCACGTTCCTGGTAGTACTATGATCAACTTGTTTCTCCATGCCGTGGCCTCATCAAGGTACATGTTTCAGAGCTATTGAGTTAAGTAAGGGTTGTAACCACAATCATAGTAGCCTCCTAAACTGTGGCTTTCTCAGCTTTAGGAAGGTGAATTAACATAAAAAGAAATCAATTCTGTTTAAAATGCATTAGTGCAGCTTTGGGCTCTACTGCTTCTCTCCTCCTCCTCCTTCCCCCCCCCCCCCCCCTCCCTCCATCCTTTTTTTTAATTGTTGATTATGATAGAATTCTTTCTGTAAATTAACAAATAGTGCTCTAATTCGGTGTTGAAGTTTTACACTAAAAATGCTAATATTTGCCATTTATTTCATACTCTGTTATGATCGATTTTCTTTTTTAAGATAACTTTAATAAAGCCAGGTTTCTATCAAGGCTTTGAAGCAAAACTGCATAAAATGTATAACACATCAATTTCTGATTAATCTCTGACCCAAACTATGTACATTTGTGCCTATTTTATTATATTTTGTCTGCTGATGCATTTAATTATACAAAACCCTATTGTTAGTTGATATATGTATGTTATGCACAGACTGTGAAATCGTGCATTTCACGAACTGTGCAATTTTTTGCTCATTTCGTGAAATAAATAGCGTTGTTGCGCAGATTGTGAAATGTTAAACTTTTGTTGTTGGTTTTTTTAATACATACCCTGCATAATAAATATATGTTTTTTTAATTAATAGACTACCTGCCCAACCCAAACCCTAAGTTAATGTAGCAGCACTCTGTTGCAAGTCAGGCTATTTTTCAGTCGATGTAGCAGCACTCCGTTGCGAGTCAGGCCATAAGATAGTTGATGTAGCAGAACTCTGTTTGAGTTGCAAGTTCTTATTTAAGTCAAAATTAATATTTATTAGACTATAATTAAATATTTCTTTTTTAAATTTGTAAAAATTCCACTTTTCACAATCTGCGCAAGAGCACTATCCATTTCACAAAATAAGCAAAAAATTGCACAATTCGTGAAATGCGTGGTTTTGCAATCTGTGCGTAACATGTACATCTAAGGATCAACATAAGAATTTTTAAAAATTTTATTGAGAAAGATATAATTATAAAAACATTCAATTTAATTCAAATAAAATTAATTTTTGATGACAATAAAAACCGGGTTGTACAATTTTAAAAAGATTTTCTTAACCATGCATAATTTAAGACTTTTGGCAAATATCCCATAGCTTCTTAGTTTTTTTTTTTTTTTTTAATCTTGTCAGTTGCCCTTAAAAATTTGTTTATTCTAAATAAAAACTTTCGATTTGATCTATAGTGATGTTTTGGATTTGTAAATAAGTGTTATTTACATATTTGATTTGTATTTTGATTACAGATTTGTAAATAAGTTTTATTTACCAATCTGAAACATTGCTATAGAATAGCATTTGTTGTAGTATAAATTAAATTTGTGGCCAAAAGTTTTTAAATTGTCTAATAATATGTATTTGTGTATGTTATCAGTGTAATCGAATTTTTTTGCGTTTAAACTATATACGCTTTTACTATTTAAATAGTTTTGAAAATTTTTTTTCCACATTGCATTTACTATGTTTTATTCAAAATTCCAATCTCATTTTTAAAAGAACAAATATAGGAACTAGTGTTCGGCAAAATCAAATATACGTCAAACCTTTAAAGATTTGAATTTGAACTGTTCTTTGAGGGGATAGATTTGAATTTGATTTGACAAATATCTGGAGGATTTGGATTTAATTTTCAAATATTCACTTTGTTCTCAATTTTTGCGTTTGAAAAAAAAACGCCAAAGTTTCAAAATATACCCCGTTCAAATCGCGTGTTTCATCAAACCCATGTAATGAGTTTGAAAGCTATTGTAATGATACAAGTAAGCTAGATGGCGGCAATAATAGCAACATATTACTTTGGTGGAAATCTCGATCTGACAAATATCCAAACCTATCCAGAATGGCCAGAGATTACCTGGCCATTCCTGCTACATCTGTATCATCAGAAAGGCTCTTCTCATTAGGAAAAAATTTTATTACTGACAAAAGAAATCTTCTCTCTGCAGATACCATTCAAGCTTGCCAGTGCTTGAAGTCTTGGTTGGATTAAAAAGAATAAAAGAAGCTGTAATGTGTGAGAAATAGTAACAAATGCTGTAATATGAATAAAATTTATAGATTCAGATAACTAAAATTAATAAATGAAATAAGTTAAATAACGTTCAAATATACATCAAATCTTGGAAAGATTTGAATTTGATCTAAATTCAAAATAGGAAGATTTGAATTTGGCCATTTCAAACATTTGACGCATATTTGATCAAACTATTTGAATTTGTGCCGAACACTAATAGGAACTAACAACTGTTTCACAGGAAGACACACAATCTCAGGTCATTACATGATCAGGCAAATTACATTTGCTTTGAGCGTAGCTATTTCAAAAAACATTTCAAAGACATACTGAATAAAAAATGTATACCTTAGGTGAAATAAATTACATTGCAATTTCTTAAAAAATGTTTTTGTATTAGTGAAACGCTTTTAAACAAAGTAACTATTTACTGACAATGATTTTTTTTTTTTTTTTTTTTTTTAGTATTATTGACAGTTGTATATAATTCTTTAATTTATATTATGTAAATTATTCAAGTATGCATTTTTTATAAAAAATGTTATTTTAAAAAATAATTTTATTTTTATAAATGATGACTTTCTATGACAATAAAAGTTTTTCTTACAAATTTTAATATTAATAACTTTCATACTGTTGAAATGCTTTTTAATGGAGTAACAAATGCTTCTAATGAATTGTTATATTAAGTATAAAATATAAGCTATTGTTCTTTTTTTATTTATGAAACTATTTATTTTTTATGATAAATGTTAATCTTTTGTAATAAATTAAAAAAGAAAGTAATGTTAAAACAAAGAATGAAATAATTTTTAATGCATAATTGTTTAGTTAGGTTATCTATTTAGTTGCGTTATATATAAGTTTTTTTAGCATATTTTTAATTTTTGAAAACATGTTTAAAGCTTTGGTCAAATCGTTAAATCAATCAATCATTTATTTCTGAATTGAGTTATATTCAAGGATGTTTACAAATAGTAAATTTACTAATATAAAGTAAACACCTACTAATGTTAATAATATCTAGTTAAAATAAATATAATGCTAATTTTCACAATATATAATAACAATAATAAACTTTTTTAACATAAAAATAACAATGTAACATAAATGACGATGTTAATAATAATAACAAGAATATTAGTATTAGTAATAATAAAAGTTAAAAGTAGTTATTAATAGTAAATATTAATAAAAGTAAAAATAACCAATAGAAAATGTAAAAAAAAAAAAAAAAAAACTCAAGACAACAAAAATTGATTATAGAAATTATAAATATTTGCTATATTTTTTTAATAAAAAGTAGAATAAACTGGTTTTAAAGGTTGAGAAAGAATTTAGAGCTTTTAGTTCATAAGTTTAATAAATTAGCTTTTAAGTTCATACTTTAAACAAAGTATTTTTTGCGTGTGTTCATATAACTTTGTGTGATCGCGTGTCTTCCTGTGAAACACTGTAGCAATACATTTTTTTATTTTATTTCTATATTGACTTGTGCATGTTAGTTACCTTAAAGCATTATTAGTGATTAGAATAGATTGTAAATTCTATTGGTTTGTGTGGTTGTTAGTTTTCTACATAAAGTTTACTATCACTTTAAAAATAGTTGCACACTATAAAATCAGCAAAAATCATTTGTGGTGAATTAAAGTTAAATTTTTGTAAAACTTTAACATTATTAGTCCAGCGCATTTGATTACATTCCAAATAAACGCAAAATCTTGTTTGTGGGTCAAAATAAACTCAAGTTATGTCAAAAATAATAAGTGCTCTTATTTGTTTTAAGCACCTTTATGTAATGTATTTCTAAAACGTGACTAGTCATACTTTTTCTAAAAAGTGAATTTAAAGAAGAAGAAAATTTTTAGGAAAAGTTGATGCTTCAAAATAAAATTTCTGATTTAAGTGTAAAGAGTGTTTAAAAAATAATTTTACAGGAGAAGCAATTTTTGCTCTCCTGTAAAATTTTAATTTTGTGGCTCGTCAAGTTTTCATAATACAATGTTCAATTTTACATTAGTCTTTTTATAATCTATTTAAAATATCATTTTTTATATAATATTAAATATATAATATATAATATTTGTAGTTATTTGAAATAGTATTTTTCAAAATTTTTATTTATCTTTTTAATCTTTTTATTTAAGAAAGAGCATCATACAGATCAAGTGAATTGTGTGTCCTATTTTGAAGGAGCAGACTTAAGTTATACATGCTCTGATGATGGCTTTATAATGGAGTGGTCTAATCGATCAGGTAAAGCAACAAGGTAAACTATATTTGATATTTGCATAATAAGATTTAAATAATCAAGAGTATAGTTGGCATTGTTACAATAGTACATAAATAATTGTTTATGCTATTTTTTAATGATACTTAAAGTTACTTTTTCTTTTTTTCTTTATTTTTAGCAAATGGAAAGCTGGTAAATTACCTATCCATATTGTTTGTGTTGATCCTAAAGGGGAAGTTTTACTGTCAGCAAGTAATTCAATTAAGCTGTGGAGTATAAATACTAAAGAACTTTTAATGGTAAGTATATCTAGAATCTGTAATTGACATTTTATTACCCTCACATTTCAGGCATGTAATAAAATAGGTCTTGGTTTTTTAAATACTATTTCTAAGAGTAGTTATTTAATAAAATAATGATATGAAAAAGAAATAATAATTTAAATGGTTTTTTTGAAAATGAGTATATTTTTTATAAATAGCATACCACATGTGAAACTTAAAAGAAGAAATTTATTAAAATATAAGTTGTTTTACAAGTATATTTTAAAGAAACAAGATTAAATTTTAAGACTCTGTTTAACACTAATCTACTTAAAATAATTTAGTAATTTTTAATATAACAATAATTTTGTTATAAGTTGTTTTTAAAAGTAGCGTATTAAACTAAATCTAAGTTTATTTTTAAATATTGTGTTTCTTTATTATTAATTTTTTATAACAAAGCATAATTAAAAGAATATTTGTATGAAATATAACAATGTAAACTGTCTGGCATTTAAATCTTTTAACGCTTTACCTTTATAACTTATAATTTCATTAGTAAATTTATATTTTATTTTGTTTTAAGCTTATGTTTTAAACTTGTATTTATAAAAATCGTGTTTCTATAATTCAACGAGTTTTTTTATTTTGGAAAAATTTAATGCAATTATGTTTTATTTTACTAAATTGAAAAACATTAGTTTTTGCATGTATGCTCATAATATAAAAAAAATGATTTGTATTTAGGAATTTAATGGGCATTCTTCTTCTGTCTCCTTATTACAATTTTCAGCATTCTGTTCAGTGCAAAATGATCCAGTAATTAGTTCTGATGGTTATTATTTTTTATCAGGCTCTACTAATGATAGAGTTGTTAATGCATGGTATGTTTTGTTTACTTTTTGGTTTTTAACTTGATTTTCTGTTTCAGAGTTTAAAATTATTTTAAGAATGATAATACAAATTTTATTTGATTTTTTCTTTGTTTTTTTAGGCATATCAATTGTTCAAAACCAAATAAAGAAGCTATTGCGTCATATAGATTGTCAGACTTTCCTATTTTTCTTGATACCATGGTTGTTGAAGATGATGACCAGGTAATTATAACCTAAATTTTTATCTCAAGTCGCAAATTAAGTGATCCCAGATTGTGAATTTTGAAAGTATTTCTGCTTTTCAAATTCTTGGTTTATTTATAACAGTGAACGCCTTTTTAATAATGGGGCCAATTTATCATATTGCAACAATCAAGTTAAGAATAACAACTTTTATTTTATTATAAAAATTTTGTGGTTTTTAAGCAAAATTTAAAAACCAGAAGCATTTCTGGATATTATTAATTAATTTTATTACTTAATTTAATTAATATGCAATTGAATATTTTTAAATGCGCCTTTCATTAATATACAATCTACTGTTTTATTTTAGCTTTTCTACTGTTAAAATATGATTTTAGTTTTGTAAATTTTCGTGATTTGAAATTTGCTTTATTAATCATTATAGGTGCCTCAAGAACCTTAACATTTAACGGATCCCCAATATCATCAATATTTCAAATATAAGTCATGTCTGGTTACAAATAAAATAAAATTATGTATATAAATTAAAAATGTAGTCAAAATTAATTCTCTATTGGTGCTTAATTAATAACATCAAATTTAATCTATCAAAATAATAAAAAATTAATCAAAATTTCATGACTATTATTTTGATAAATAATTCTCTGTGTTTTTATAGTCGTGTCTCATGTTTTTCCCATACGGGCGGGTGCTGGCTTTACTAAGTTATATGCAAAAAGCTTCGAGTGACACATCTAGTTATATTTATACATCATTAAGTTTTACTATTTGATATATACTAATCTTTGGTGTTCTTGATAGTTTTGATTTCTATTTTTCTTAAGCAATGTTTTGTATTAAAATAAATTAATAGTTGCTTGTTTTTTAATTTTATTTTTAGCCCTTAAAAGTTTGTGTTGGTTGTCAAGATGGTAGAGTTCACTTTTTTGAAAATGCATTAAATGGGTTAGCTTTAAAATTATTTTATACTACATTTTTGATTATTTTAGTTGATTATTAGGTAATGTTCTTTTAGAGAATACTATATACTTTTTATTTGTTGATTTAAAAGTTTAAAACTATTTAATTATTGGCTACTTTAAAATATTCAAGTAATTTTGAGTTATTTGCTTAAAATATTGCAGTATATACAAATAGTTATATTTTGTTTAAAGTAAAGCAATTCGGCCTATAGAAGCCAAAAAAACTTTGGATCTTATTCATAAAGAAGGAGGAAATGTAAGATATATATTTGAATGCATTTTTCTTTTTCTTTATGTAAATTTTTTATTAAATTTTTTTTGTTGATGTTGTCGTTTTTCCTGTGTTACACGTTTATATATTATTTTTTTTAGAAGTCATGCGCAACTCCTGTTGCCTTACTTAATGGAGGTTTTGAATATAGCACTGAGTTTTCATTAAGAATTGTTTTTGGAGGAACTGTTAATCCGTCTTTTCAAAATTATGTAAGTTTACAGTGTTCTAAGCACTCTATTTTTATATTATTATATTTTTATTTTCTAAGCACTCTATTTTTATATAGCAAGTTTTATATGAAAAGTGTTTCAAATCAAAATTAGTATAAACCCTAGATTTATAGAATGTGTGTGTACTGCACTGCAGTACAACCTCACTTGTGTCTAATGTTTCGGTCAAAAAAATAATTTTTCAAAATAATGCTGTACAAAAGTTAAATGTTTATGTGCATTGCTTACAAGGTTTTAAAATTTTTGCAAATAATAAAAATTAAATCAAACATGGATGTACACTGATAATTTTATACTGAAATAGCCATCTGCAGAAGTACAAACATTAGCTTTATGGTAGGTGTTATCTAGTTTGTGACAGATTTTATATTGTCTGGATGCAGGTCACAAAATTTTTTGAGTTCAATTTTGATGCACTGATGCTTAACCTTAATTAACTCAAAATCTTTTAGTGTATAATCTAAATGATGTATCAGAATATTGTTTGTTTTTCCCTTAGATAATTGAATTTGAGTGATATCTTTTTTTGTTTGATGATGTTTGGGAAACTCATCTTCGTTATATAAATTTATAAAACTGCTAGAACCACTTTTAGAAAGACCAAACAACTTTGAACATGCTGGAGGTAGATCTGGATTTTCTTTTTACAAGCAGAGCTACTTAAAAGAATAGAAAGCATTTCAGCTTGTTTTTTCTTTGAATTTGGTAGTGTTTTTTAAACTATTTTTCAATACTTTTCCTCATAGTTGAGCATTTTTAAATATGAACTTAGACTTTAAGATTAGTTAATAAGCTTTCTTTTTTGAGCTTGATATCTCTTAGATCTTCTTCTAGACATATTAGTAGTGTTAATTGCTAGGTTTTTATATTTTTACATGTAAAAATCTTATTTAAAATTGTAAAACTTGTGTGAATTCTGTTAATTGCCAAACTTAATTTATTGCTTTTTTTTTTTTTTTTTTAATGCATAAAGCAAATATTTTTATATTACTGTTACTACATTAATTTCATATATTAAATTAAGTTATTTATTATTACCCATTCAATCATTATTATTTTTTAGATATATTCAAGTTTAGAAGATTGTAGTAAAGTTATTGTAGATTTCTCCAAAAATATTTTACTCAAACAAAGAAAAAAAGCAGAAGAAAATGTTATTGATTATCCTGTTACAAATAAATCTACAAAGTATCTTGGTCAACTTCATGTTAATTTAAAAAAGAAAACAGATATTGTTATTGATGTTAATGGTAATGAAGAAGATAGGCAGAAAACAGATACTGAGCAAGACATGGTAAATATTATCTTCTTTTTCTTATCTTTTTTTCTTCCTTTATTGATGTATATTTCAAATCAAATTTATTTTGTAATTATTAGAGATCTATGGAAGAACGAATGAAAAATGTTACTCCTGATATACATTATGACAAGTAAATTGTTTTTTATACTTATGATGAAGGTTTTTTTATTGTAGTTGGTAAAGTAACTTTCTATTGTTTGTTTTTGCTTATATTATGTCAATTTTAATGTTTGTTGCAGATCAAATATACCTAGTGCTGGCTCGTTTTCTCAAATGCTTATTCAGGCTATTCATAGTTCTGATGAAGTGCTATTAAATGAAATCTTGTTTAAGACTTTTCCTGATACTGTTTTGCGAAATACTATCAGAAGAGTTCCTGTAAAACTAATAGGCCCTTTAATAATAAATGTAAGTCTTATTTACTTTTGGTGTATGCTCTATATATATGTTTTGAGAGTGAAAAAATGTAAAATACTTTTTACATTTTTTCACTCTCAAAACATATATATAGAGAATTTCTAACGATGAATTTGAGTGTCGTTCATACAATAAATATTTTATTTGGTTGGTAGAAATTGCATTTATTTGTATTTAAAGTGCATAAACTTTTATCTAATATATATATATATATATATATATATATATATATATATATATATATATATATATATATATATATATATGTTTCAGCAAAATTTGCATAGGCAAATTTTGGTCAGATATTAATAAAGTATTTTCTTTATAACTATTATTTATTTTTTAATCTAATAACCTTTCTTTAAATTTTATTTTTATTATAAAATATTTGTAAAAATGATTATTTTTTTGCCTTGAATAGTTATATTACTCTCATTTGATTGCTTTGGAAGTTTTTTTACTTTACAACCATTTATGTTACAAGCTTTGTAATTAGTGTATCACTTTATTAAATGATTTTTTTTTCTTTTTTCAATTCAAAGTAAAAATCATTTGGTTAAAATTTGATAATGATTTATATAATTTTAGATTGTCGATAAGCTCCAACAAAATCCTAACAGGTTTGTGTTGGTTTAGATTTTATTACTAATTAACTTTTTCTAGCTTTTTGAGTGTGTTTTTATTGTTACAATTTTAGATCAAAAATCTTAGTTTCCTGGTTAAGAGTCATAATGGGTGTACATTTAACACATGTAATGACTGTAAGTTATTTTTGTATATTAAAATATGTGAAAGACAGTGATGAGTTGTGCAGGGGTATTGAACACACAAACATGTATGTGTGAATAGCCATTTTAAAGAATAAAGTTTGCATGTGGTAATCTTTTTTCTCTTTTCTTGGTTATTAAAAAGCACATACTGAGTCTTAAATAATGTATTATTTTAGAACTTGGTTTTCTTTCCTTAGATCACTTATATTTATTATTACGCTTGAATTTCCTTAAGTTTATTATGAAGTTTTATGGGACAAATGATGCAATTGCAAATTGTGATGATGGGCCAAAGTCATTTAGCAAATCATATTATTTAAAGCAATCGCTGATTTTTACATTTGACAATGTTGGTTTAAAAAAAATTAATAATTTGGGTATAAAACAATAAATGCTTTTATCCTGTATTTGTATTACCTGGATTATTATGCTACTAACATCTGGACATACAAAGGATATTTAAAGCAATGGTTGTGAGAGTCTTATGAAAGAGTTTTGCTATTTTTGTTGCGTTAAGTTTGTTTTGTGCAAAAAAAAAATTAGTGATTTAGTAAATTTGAGTTAATTTTTGTGCCTTAAGAGTTTTTTAACCCTCATTTTAATAAAAATGTTTAGTTTTTTTAAAAAAATTTATCTAGAATGAAAGTATTTCAACTGCTTTGGCTACTTTGTACAATCTGTTAAAAGTACAACAGGAAGTGCATCCTCTACTACTAAATATTCAAGGGAAAATTGATCTTCTTATTTCGCATGTAATGTTTGTTATTTCAGTTTACTCCTTAGTTGAATTTATTTGTATTACACTTGATGTCAAAATAAATAATTTTTATTATTATTATTTTTTTTTTTTTTTGTTTTGTGTTTTATTTCTACATGTATCCCTTACCTTTTTTTTTTTAATTTTCTGTTCAGATTATTTTTTAAAGGAAGGGTAAATAAATAAAGGTCTTTTCGCATTTTTAGACTTAAAAAAATGTCTTTTGATGTAGTAAACACCTATTATATTTTATAATTTTTACAAGTTATTTCTTCAAATTTGTCTCACTTATGAGATATGAAGTATTGCATAAATATCCCTTTATTCTTTTTTCAAAGTTATTCTACATATGAAAATACTTCAGAATGAAGGGTACACAAAAATAGGTCTTTTCGCATTTTTAGGCTTACAAAATGTCTTGGGATGTAGTAAACTCCTATAACATTTTTTTTTTTTTTAAGTTATATTTAACAAAGTTTTCTTTTGTATATATTTAATAGGGTATAAATCTTCATCTTTTTTCTGTTTTTAGTGCATATAACTTTTTACAAATAATGTAAAATATATAAGCCTTTTTTGCACTTTTGAACGTTAAATGCCCTCAGCTTTTATAACATTTCCTTAACGTTTAGAGTTACCGAATAGAAATTTAATTATCAATTAAAATTCTAATAAATTTTTATTATTTGTAGGCTGTTAATAAACGATCGTTAGTTGAAGAAATTGAAGATGTGAATGACAATCCAATTGTTTTTAATGATGGTTAGTTGTTTTAAACTAATAAAATCTTTGTTTTTGTTTACGATTTCTTGCAATGTGATATTATTACCTATTAGGTACGTTAACCTTTCACAGTTAAGTGCTTTAGTAACTTAGTAGTCATGTTTTAGTACCTTATACTTGATATATATTTCTTGAATAAATAAATTAAAATTATTTGGTGGTTCTTTAAAATTTTTTTCTCTTTTTTTTTTAAAGTACAACAAGAACCTGTATCAGTAGTTGTGACCGGAAATTATATTGATTTTTTTAGATTCTGATGATGAGGCGGAAACTTTAGTCGATAAACTTTTGGAGTCAGATCCGGAAGGAGATGCAGGGGAAAGTGTACAAAACGAGGATGAAGAATCATCTGATAATAATGATTCGGGTAGCGAAGACAGCGACGAAAATGGCAGTGAAAGCGACCAATACTGAATTTCGAGTGCTTTTTTTATATTTTACCTCAAATCCTAATTTTGCTCAACTTTTTATAAATAAATATGTGGATAGAGTTGATCCATAATAAAAATACAATTCAGTGAGATTTTAAATTATTTTGTTAAATAAAATTGAAAAAAAGGTTTTATGTTTTATTTATGAAAAATCGCTTTTATCCGTGTTATCTGTTTTAAGAATGATAAATTTTGAAATAGTTGGTATTAGTTTGTTTTTGAAATAAGTTCTCTAATTAACGCGGTCTTAGAAATACCTTTTTCTATAGTCTGCCTCCAACTTTAGCAATGTTTTTAGTTTATAAGGTTTGGATAATTGTAAATAATAGATCTAGGAATAACTATCAGGCTTTTTTAAACGTGATGGTTTTCTACTAAGATTACTTAGCCAGAAATGTAAAAAGACAACTCCCCCTCCTTAATCTGTCAATATTTCATAATTTTGTTTGAATTATAGGTTCAAGATTATTTTCTTTAAAAAAACAAACAAACCTCGAAACCTAAAAGTGGGCATGTTACACTGAAAAAAGTAATTAATAAAACGAGAGACAGCAATTTTTAAGGATTTAAAGTTATTGAGAAATACATGTTTTTTTAAGATTCTTCTGACGGAAAAGTTATGTGAAAAATAGAGATTAAACGAGTATCAACTTCATTTCTACCTCCACCATTTTAAGATATTTTTCAGAATTGGTCAATACTTGTAAGATTTCAAAAAAATCATTTTTCAATTTCTTATTTGTATTCGCATAAATCCATCTCTTTCAACCCAACCGCAGCACTATGCGTCGCTCTAATACAAAATGAGGAAATAGGCTAATAAATAAGGAAGCATTCAACATAAAACTGACTTTTTCACAAAACATTGAATTTTCGTTCATATTTCTATATTTAAAAGAAAAATACCCGGTTTTTTTTAATTTACGGTTCATCCGGACTGATTTCTGACTATTCCGAAAAATTACATATGCCCGGATATTTTTATTCAAAAAACAGATACCAATAATTTATAAAATTTTACAAACTTTTTAAGAAATTTTAAAACAATATCATTAAATCTAAACTTATTAAAATTATCAACAGATCTGCTAAATCTGATTCTTTACTCTTGAGTTTCTTACAAAAATAACTATTTGCTATAAAAAAAAGTTGTTTTTTTAAAAATTCAACACAAAATACCTTATCAGTATAACATTTTAGTTCATGATATAGATCTTTCTAGATTAGTTAGTTACTAGTTAAAAATTATAAAATTATTTCTTAAATTTTTTTTAAAAAAAAAACAACAAAACTTTAAATTATTATTTAAAACTATATTGAGATTTCTTTACCAAAAAAAATAATAACAAGAATAGTCTAAAAAAATAGTCTAAACTACTAATAATAGCATAACATTAAAAAAAACACTCTATAGAGGTACATATCAAAAGACACAAACACATAATTAACTGTATCCCTTGTGTTTTCTGCCATAAAAGTTAGACGTGCATGACTAACTTGTGCAGCTTTGCTTTTTTTGTTTCTGGCTTCAATAGCAATCTCAGATGAGACTTAGAATATAGATTGTACAGATTGTGACATAGGTATGGATTTTTGTAAAATGTTATTAGTAATGATTGCAAATAGATATTCAGATTTCTGATTGAAAGTTTATATCCACTCTTGGAGTCGTGATGTTGATATCAATGAGTAAGTCTCAAAATAACTTATTTATTCAGATTTAGGTGCTCTTTATGGTACACTAAAAATAAAAATAAAATACATTAAAGCATATACAACACCAATAAAAATGTCAAACTTAAAAGTGTTTTTGTGAAACATAGTAAAAACTATTTGTGTGTGTGTGTGTATATATATATATATATATATATATATATATATATATATATATATATATATATATATATATACATATATATATATATATATATATATATATATATATATATTGAAAACTGAGGAGATATATATACATATATCCTCAGTTTTTAAGTGAAATGCAGTAAGTCTAAAAGCATTATTTTGAGATAATGAACAAATAAGTTTTTGTATAATAGTTAAAAAATAATAAGTTTTTGTGTAATAGTTGAAATAAAAAATCTTAATAACTCATTAACAATTGATTTATTAAATTTGTATAGTGTATCAAATGATTGCATTTCCTTAGTATACCGACGATATATATATATATATATATATATATATATATATATATATATATATATATATATATATATATATATATATATATATATATATATATATATATATATATAATAATAAATTTTTTTGCTGTACACATACAATGTGTGAGTCTAACATCTGTAGATGTTAAAACTTTGACAGCCGTTGCAAAGTCTTTTTTTTTTTTTTTTTTTTTTTTTTTAAATGTTATATATATTTTTTTTGTTTTATTTGTTTTATATTTTTATTTTGTTTTTTTCGAAACGATAAAACTTGTTTTTGAAGATGTTCACATTTTTAGAATTAATTATCTCCTCTGTTAAATTATTCCAATTGTTAACTATTCTGTTTGTAAGGAAGTTAAATCTTGTGGTAGAATGTTTGAATTGTTTTTGTATTTTCTGAGTATGACCTCTTGTTATTGCATATTTAATTATTTTAGGAGGATGATTCCATTTAACTTTATCCATATTTTTACTTGTTTTATATAATTGAATCAAATCGCCTCTTTTTCTTCTTGTTTTTAAAGTAGTCAAGTTAAATTTTTTCAGTCTATCTTCATAGCAAAAGCTTCTTAAACTATTTATTCGTGTAGCCCTACGTTGTATTTTTTCAATTTTATCAATATCCTTTTGGTAGTAAGGGTTCCATACCGGCACCGCAAACTCCAGGTGTGGACGAACCAATGACGTGTATAAATGTTTCATTGAAATTTCATGTAATCTATATATACATATATATATATATATATATATATATATATATATATATATATATATATATATATATATATATATATATATATATATATATATATATATATATATATATATATATATATATATATATATATATATATATATATATATATTTTACACTTATGGATCCAGTATATAAAGACACACACATACACACACACACACATTTTTACACACACACACACACACTATTTAGTTAGTGACTAAATATAAAACATCAAAAACCAACTAAGTAAATATCTCTTGTGAGTATAATATGTTTTATATATTAAGTTATTATTATTGTTAAATTTTAATATAATATATATATATATATATATATATATATATATATATATATATATATATATATATATATATATATATATATATATATATATATATATATATATATATATATATATATATATATATATATATATATATATATATAGTTACTAAATATATATATATATATATATATATATATATATATATATATATATATATATATATATATATATATATATATATATATATATATATATATATATATATAATTACTAAATATAAAACATCAAAAGAAAAAAGTGGTTTCTAACTGAGTTAGAAACAACTTTTTTCTTTTTCCACAAATTTTTATCAAATAAAAAGTCAGACTTTTAAAAACGTTAAAAACTGTGTAACCAGCATAAAATGATAAAAATGTGGACTGCAAAAATAAATTTTTACTTAAAAAAATATACCTAGGAGGAAAATTATCAAACAAAAGTTTGCTGAGATTAAAAGTAAACATTTTAAAACATTATACCACTCTTAACTGAGAAGTTATAACTTACCGCTCTAGAGTAAATGTACCGCTCCGAGTCTAATGTTGTTTTTTATACTTATTAACTTAGCAGTTTTTAATAAAACCCACTACAATGAATCGATATTACACTATGTTACTACAGAGATAGCCAGTATATTATTTCATTTCTAAAAAGTCTATTTATCGTAGAAAGTTTATAATAAATAAAAAACTGGCTACCTCTGTAGTAACATGGTCTAATCAATCAATCTTTAGGGACACAGAAAAGCAATGATCCAAACATTTTTTTTTTTTTTTTAATTTTGGTTTTTTATTTACAAAATGTATCATTTATTTGATAATATGCAAAAAAATTTAAGAAATTCGGAAATTATCGTATCTAATTTAATAATTTAGTAAAAACCCGGGTTTCTTTACCCCTGAAAATCCCGCACTTAAAAAGACAAATTTAAAAAAATTTGAAATAGTTATTTTTTTTTTAACTAATGCTAACTTGTTTCAGTTAAAAAAATGTTTGAAATAATAAAATTGATTTTTTTTCTCCAGAAAAGTAACTAAAATCCTATTTCCGCTTCGCAACGCATAGTGCGCAGACTTATTCTACTGCCTCAGTAACTAACTTCACTACTCTCGCACAATTTTAACTTTCAATGCATTGACTTGACTAACAAGTTTGCAGTGAAAACTAGTTATGTGATATAGTTATTTTATTTTTTCCTATGAATAAGTTTTTTGATGTCGCAAGTGTCAAGGTTTATTACTTGTACAAAAAGTCTCACATTAGTAGAGCCATGTTCACTTCCACTCTGACTAACAATATCATTTTAACGGTAAATAACCTCCGTTCAGACCTATTAGAACAGAGAAGTGCTGACAAGCATAATTTTGGGATAAACCTATCACTTTTTAGATCATTTATAGAAGTTTCTTTAATCCTGTCATCTTGCTTCTAGTTTACCGACTGCTCCACGCCATACTTTATTTGAATAGGTTGGTCCATTCAGTTTTCAAAACTTTATGGAATGGAAGCTTATTAATGTAAAACCATAAAAAATATATTATTGACGAGAAGTTCTGCCACAAAATGAAGCATTCCACCTCTCCATCGGGACATTTTATTTATAGTGTCACTGTCAGGTATATATGATTGTTAGGAGATTAAGATCTATACCTTTTTCTATTACCCAGTTAAATAATCCAGTAGCACAAGGCTTTGCTGGTTTAGATATTTTTAATGCAGGCCCTGGTTAATAATAAATACAGCAGCAACCAGGGCCGTCTCGAACGGGGGTGTTGGGGTGTCCTACCTCAAAATTCTTCTCTCACATAACTTATGATTTTCTTTGATAATTGTGTAGTTTTATTTGAATCAATATTGATAGCTGTTAAAAAGAAATTTGATTGTAATGCTCCCCAAACTAGCCAGATGTCATTTACTAAAAGATATACTGCTAAAGGTTTTTGATGTTGATACTCCTGCTCAATATCTTTTCAATAAAGAGTTTAATGATTTTAAATATATCAAACTGTTTGTTTTTTCTGTTTAACAAATAAGTTTTAATTTAATAGAAATTAAATAAAAATATGCTTCACTAAATTTTCAAGAATTAATTGCATTGGGGTTGTTTTTCTTTCTAATCTAGGTAAATGTTTTGATATTATAATATGTTTTTATTATAATTCGCGGCTATTAAAATAATGGCTTTTTACGAAGCCTTCATTTAAATCAAGCTGAAAATCAGTTTAAACACAGGCTTCATTATAAAAAAATAACTTCTATTATATATAAAAAGTTACGAAAATCCATAATGGGAGCAAAACTTTAGCAAAATTTTGTGGGAGGCATGTTACTTTTGATTATTGAGTAAAAGATTTTAAATTCAAATTTACCACCATGATTTTGTCATACTAATTTGTAACTTATATTAGGGGTGGGGTCAAAATTTTTATACTTTTTTGTTTAACCAGTTATTCATAATTTTTTTTTTGAAAGTTTAAAAGGTTTACGAAAAAAAAGTCATTTTTTCCTATTTTTTTTTTTTACTTATATGTTTCAAATTTTAAAGATAATAAAAACCTTAATAACTAGTAATCTTTGCAGCGCATTTTCCACGTGTAAAATTACGCAAATAATTAGTTTTTTCAAAAGTAATTATTAAATTGATTCAAAATTTAGCCCACTTATTTATTGTATTAGTATTTACAACATACACTAGAATGTTTATTGTTTCTCTCGCTTAGTATTTTAAAAAAATTTTGTGCCCTTAATTTACAAAAACGGTAATATTTTATCAAGTTTTAGACCTAGCTAAATCTTTTAGTCCACAACACAATGACACATATAATCACCCAACTGAATAATCACAAAAAAATCTATAATCTCTATTTTTATATTTTCAAACGCTTTTACACTAAAAGGTTTGTCCTTTTTAAAAACTTTTAATACTTTATTGAATTTAAAAAGCAAATATTATAAAGTTTTATCTTTAAAAATAAGAAGTTAATTGCAGGTCAATTGCAGATTATTAATTGCAGACCATATATTTCACATAATAAAAAAATTTTGTTCCGAAACTCTTAACTCAAAATATTGTATTTTTAAATTATCAACAATGAATTAAATCATAACAAAAGATAACCTATTTTAAAATATCTAAAGAAAAAGGATTTTTATTTTTTCGCGTTTACTTTGTTACAAGAAACGTAACTTTGAACAAAAAATTACATGAATATATCTTTATAGGTGTTAATAGTTCACCTGTTAAAAGTACTTCAAAATGAAAAGTACTTTGTCAATTTTAAAAAAAAGTCTTCTATATCTAGAATTTTCTTTAAATCAAAAGAAAATAATGATAAAAGGTCCTATAGAAAAAAAGTGTGTGTGTGTAAGGGGAGGGGGGTGGTGGGGAAAGGGGCTGCCCTGCACCCCCCCCCCCCCGCCTCGTATCGTCGGCCCTAAAAGCAAGCGTAAGATGGCTTAAAATTAGGGTCATTATATAACTAAGACATTTCTTCATAATAAAAAGGTTGACAAATCATACTATTAAAGAAGTTTTATAATAAATTCTATAACATTATTAAGAAACACTTTACAATCAATTTATTTCATTTAGTTACAAAATCATTTGATTTACTTGTACAAAGTATAAAAATTTACAAAAACACATTGAAAATATATTGATATTACAACACAGCACAAATAAAAATATTTAATCAGAGAAATGGTTTATAAATGATAAACTCTTGTTTATTTGATTCCACAAACAATATCTTAAAATATCGTTAAAAACGAAACTTTTTTGCTAGATTCTTTATTGACATCAACGTGCTATAGCTTAATCCGAAACCAGCCTAAATAAAAATATAAACAATTTATTGTATGTTATGTGTAGAGGTGTCAACGATAAAAGATTGATCAGTAAACTGCACGGTGGGCCAACGGTGGGCCAGATAGTGTAGTGGTAGAAATAGTGACAAAATTATTTTGATAAACTTTTCTATACTATTTACTAAACATATTTTTGTAAACATTTAAACGGATTAAGTAAACCTAAATTTCAAAATTTCAATAAGCAATCACTTTTGTGATTAACTTTTATTATATATTTTAGTTAAAAGTGCAAACATTGAAAATAAATTAACAAAATTTATAAATAACTTTTATAAAATTATGTAGTTTGAAAATAATTTGTATATTATAAAAAAGCTATAAATAACTTTGAGAAGTCAGACTTATTTTTAAATTAGTTTACTTTTTAAAACTTTTTAAATTTAAATTAATCAACTTTTTGAAACTTTTTTAAATTTAAACTGACGTCAAATGTTTTTGTTTTTTTTGAAAATTAGCGGTGAATCCCGGAGCAAAAATAACACAATTTAACACCATCAAACCTATTCTGTTGGAATAGACTTTGATAATAAAATTGTGAACTAACTTACTACATAAAATTTATCATTAAATTTGATCAACAAATCATCGAGCGTCCAAAAATTATAACCACGTAAAGTTAATCCAAAAATGAGGGGTTATACATGTTACATGACCATAACAAAATAATATCTTATGATAAAATTTGAAGTTATGAAGTAAATTTTAATCTGGTTTAAAGTAGCGAATTTATAAATATATATTTTTTAAATTTATTTTTTCGTATTTTAGGTGGTGTCACCAATTTTAAATACTCTGGGTGGTGAGAACAATTTTTTTAACATTTTTATGTATTTGCCTCTATTCGAATAGATAAAAATCGTTATTTGACACCAGTAGAGAAAATAGTTTGAAATTTACTTAATAATTGGAAGTTATACAATGTAAATAAAAAATATGTTAACAAATAACGCAGAGATAAGAAAACAACGTTTGGGCTAATTTTTATTACACAAATTTGTTTATGGTGGGGATAAAAAAACTGCTTATGATGGGGATGAAAATGACGATTCTATCAGACTTTTTATGAAATTTATGCACACTTATTTTGTTACTTAAATTTCTTAAAGAAACTGGATACCAGGACAATGGATACCAAGACATTGGGCACAAAAAGCCTAAAAATCAAAAAGTTTTTACAAAGCCTATAAAAGAAATACATTTTGCACCATTTTTCTTCAACACTGTTCATTAAAAACTGGTGCGTTTATTGATAACACCATCAACATTTAAAGCTATGCCTTCAATAAGTGAATATTTCTAGTAGGTTTAATGTTTTTTTTATCTAAAACTTCAGTAATTTATTTAGTAGCCTCATTGCGATTCCTTAGCCACTCCTTTAATTCTGCTGCATGAGGAAATTCAGTATTAATATTTTTAAAAAGCATAAAGCAAATGTATATATTGAAAATATTCCCTTTTGGGGTAATGTATTGTAGGTAAGTTTAAAAATTTAAGTTAGCAAATTTTCGCTATATTTACCTAACAGCCATAAAAAGAACGATGTAAGAAATTAGTTTATTTTGCATTATGCATGAATCTTATTAATTTTTATATTAACTACTAAAATAAAAAATTAAAAAAAAACACAAATTATTAAGTAATTAGGGAGAATTAAATTGAAAACAAAAGAATTTTTGTTAAAGTAACTAAAAAACACGATCCTTCAGATAGGATAGTCAATTATCCAAAAATGGGAATTCTAGTAGATTGTAGACATTTTGAAGAACTCAATATAGATTCTCATAGGTTCTCAATACACTTTTTGTAAATAATAAAAATATTAAATGCTTTAATCTCATTCCTTTAAAACAAAAAATGGTTTTAAATGTACAAAAATCTTTACTTTATATATTGAATAATTAACTATTATATTAACACTGTATATTGCAAATATATACCACATGCCCTAAGTATTTTAAAAACTACTTCCATCTCCATTACATTATCTCCATAACTATGCAAAATTTAGCATATTTAAAGTAAACAGAAATTTTTAAAACTTTTTAACTACACTAAAAAATTATCATCTTTATTTTTTAAAAGAAATATTTAATTACACATTTACATACACTTAATTATTGTGGCTATAAATAATACAATATACTAACAATTTTTATGAAAATTATGTAAAGCTTTAAAATTTTTTCAAATAATAACAATACATGTTTGTGACTATTATTAATAGGTATCAATTATAGCTGATAATAATAATATCCAATATATTTTTATAAATAAATGAAGCCAATTAACTCATTTGATCTAGTTTATAAGAAGATTACCTGAAGATGCTGATTGCTGTTTGAAAATCGTTTGCAACTTTCTACTGTATTGGATAAAAGCATAGCAACAGTCATTGGTCCAACTCCTTCAAAAAATATATATTTAAATGTATTTTTTAACCTAAAATTTATCTATCAACTACATTCTGTATCAATTAAGACGTAAGAATCTAGAGAATAGTTGGAATTACATTTTGTTTATTTATTTTATACAATTACAATATGTTTTGTTAAAGTCTTGTACAACAAACTTATTAGAGGCGTTGGATTATATTTCATTTAATTTATCGATTGGTATTTCGGTAGATGAAGCACTTTTAGATTTTGTTAAAGCTTTTGATTCTGTTGCTCACAAGACTATTGATTAAACTATCTTCATATGGAATTAGTGGTTTATTATTAAAATGGATTGAAGCTTTTTTAAAAAACAGAATCCAAAGAGTTATCCAAGGTGATGTTGTTTCTACATGGAGCAAAGTTTTCAGTGGTGTTCCGCAAGGATCCATAATAGGGCCCTTATTATTTGTTATTTTTATTAATGATATATCAAATATATTTAAAAATAAGTCAGTATTGTATGCAGATGATACAAAAATTCTTTCAAAAGTGAATGAAATAAATGTGGAAAATAGCTTGCAAAAAGATCTGGATAGTGCAGAAGAATGGTCTAAAAAGTGGCTCTTGGGTTTTAATTCTAGTAAATGTGTTATAATGCATTATGGTACAAATAATCCGTGATTGAAATATACTTTAAATGGTGTTGAACTGAAAGATTCTGAATGCGAGAGAGATTTAGGTGTATATTTTTCATTAAACCTGAAATGGAAAAAACAAATTATATCAAGTACTTCTAAAGCAAACTCAATGATGGGTATGTTAAAAATGACATTTTCACGAATTGATGCAAAATTGGTTAAAACATTGTATAAGGTATTTATTAGACCTCTTATTGAGTTTGCAGTACCTGTTTGGTCACTTTATTTTAAAGGAGACATATCACTTTTGGAAAAAGTTCAACACAAGATGACTAGATTAGTTCCATCATTAAGGAAAATTAATTATGAAAAGAGATTGGAAATATTAGATATATCTACATTAAAAACAAGGAGGGAATGTGGGGATTTAATACAAGTGTTTAAATTACTTAACAGATTTGAGGAAATTGATTTAATTAATGAACCGAAGCTTAAAATTGATTCAATTACTCGAGGTCACCATCTTAAATATGAAAGAGAAATTGTGAACTATTTACCTCGGCATCATTTTTTATTAAATCGTACGGCCAATTTATGGAACGCTTTACCGGAAACTGTTGTTACTTCAAAAACTGTCAATCAATTTAAGAATAGATTAGATGAGTATAACGCCAAATCAAAGAAGTTTTAACTAAACATTTTTAATATATATTTGGATTAATGCTGTCAAAGTGTGATAAACCACACTCGCTGGATTCGTCCAGTTACAGTTTAACTACTAACTAACTAACATTAGATTTAACTTTATTCTGAGTTTTTAACTTAAATAGAAAAATGATTTATTATTCTTTGAAAAACAGTATTTGAAAAATTTGTGTTTTAAATAACTTTAAGCTAATCACAACAGCTAAATAAAGAAAAAAAGATTCAGAAAAGATATTAACATAAAATTTTTTTAAAAAAAACTTGAAAATTGAAAATAAATTGCATGTAACTTGAATGTATTGAGAATAATGATATAATCAAGAGAAAACCCAATAAAAAAGATAAACAAAAAAAGACATAACAAGAATAAATAATCAAGATAAAATACAACAAAAAGGAGATGAAATTAAAAAAAAAACTTAAAATTTATCAAAAAATGAGCAACTTACCTCCAGGTACAGGGGTTATCCAGCTTGCTTTTTTAACACAATCAAGGTAGTCAACATCTCCAACTAGACGTTGTCCTTTTTTCTTTGTCGCATCTAAAGAAATAAAAGAATACACAAAAAATTAGTGACATCAAATAAAAATACTTTTTGCAAATTTAAAAACAGCTAGATTTTTTTAATATCACAATTTAGAAAACCTGGTACAGCAGATATGCCAACATCGATTACAATTGCACCTGGTTTTAACCAATCACCCTGTAAATTTAGCAATACAAAATTAAATTTTAAAAAACCAACAAAATTAGGCTTTTAAAAAAGTAAATAAAAAAAAAGAATAAAAAAAAGTAAAACAAAAAACCTTAACAAGCTCAGGAACACCCACAGCTGCAACTAAAATGTCAGCCAGTAAAATCTAAAATAGTTAACAAAATATATTTTTTCCACCCAGGATCAGAGGGTCTGAAACCTACTTTTTTTCTCATCTTCTTTAAATTAGTCCCTAGAACCAATCACATCAGCATTCATAACCTTGATTACTTATCAAATTCAGTGAGATTAAATAATCTTAATTACTTATCAGATTCAATGTTATCGAATAATCTTGATTACTTATCAGATTCAGCGAGATTAAAAAATCTAGATTCAATAATATCTAATATAATTTAGATAATCTAGATAATTTTTTCTGAGGTTCATTAATATAATAAGATGAAAATATTTGTTGTAAAAAAATTTACTAAATACAATAAAATTAATCTTTTACCTTTTCTTTTAGTGCTCTAGTTCGAGAATGGCATATGGTTACTGTGGCATCATGCCAAGTCAATAAATTAGCCATTGGGGAACCCTATAATTATCAATAATATTGTTTTATAATAAAACTGATATTATATAGCTTTAAAACTTCTACATTAAAATTTATCAAATTATTATAAAAAAAAAATTTATATTTGTTGTTGTATTATTTGTAAATGATAAAATAATATAAGATTGAAATTTTGAGTTTTATTGTTTTCATCACATTTTGGGTTATATTATTGTTTTATAATGTTGTTGTTCATATTGGATATAATTTTTTATTCCCACTGTTTTTTTTATAAAATACCAGCATATAGTTGCTTATAAATATGTGTTGGCATTTTTCATTTAATAAGGTCTATCTTTTTACATACCACAATTGTACTTCTACCCAACACAACAACATCAAGACCAGTGATGTTTATACCTTAAAAATCAAAAAGTTAAAATAAAAAAAAAAAAAGAATATTAAAAAAAAAAAGAAGCAACTGATAAGGTAGTAAACCTGTAGACTTTATAAGCTCCATGCAACCTGCAGGCGTACAAGAAACAAAACATTTTTTAAATTGACCTCGAGCCAAGCGACCAGCATTTACGTCATTGATGCTGAAATAAAAATTTGTTTATCAAAAAAAAAATGCAACTTTTAAATTGAAAAAAATAATTTTTTGAATAATTAAATTTCTGTAATTAAGTTTCTTTTATTTCATTGTTAAATTTTTAAAAAATAAAAAAATAAATGTAATCAGATCATAAATAAATGTATAAACCAATAAAATTAAAGTGAAATATTAAATAACAATAATATTGTAATAATTAAAAAAAAAAAACTTTTTAAAAAATTGTTTAACGTTGACCATACCCATCAACATCTTTCTCAGGGATGACAGCATTTGTTACATGAAATGTTGTAATCTTTGTTTTACAATCCAGGGGGAGCTGCACAATTATACCATGAGCAAGTGGATCATCATTTAATTCATGAATTTTTTGAATCAACTAAAAATATATCATTATGTTCAAAAATATAAAAATTATTTAGATCTTTCTTGTGCATGAAGGCTTTATATAAACTTTTTAAATACCTTTATATTTAATGAAGTATTTTTGATATTTTGTTGTTCTATTGTGATCAGCATCATCATAGCCTCATCATCATCATATTGTAATCAGCATCATTTAAAAGATTTGTAAAGTCTTTCTGTAAAATGAACTGTTGAACTTGAAAACCATTTAAAACTTAATTTTTTAGATTAGTGTAAGAAATATAATAAATGGATTTTATAAATTTTATTTTGAATGGTTATTGCTTGTGTACAAAGAAGACACTTATTGGAACTGTGGTGCTTTACAGACAAGAACATTTTCTGTACCATGCAATGCAAACTATTAAATAATTTTGGCTTGGCATAAATATATTGCTTTGTAGCTAAGACAGAGTTAATAAAATTTACTTAAGACAGAGTTAATAAAATTTACATAAATTTTTTTGGATCGAACTGTTTAAAAATAATTGATTCAAACCGAATTAAGAAATAAGAAAGTAAAACAAGTATCTATATTTAAAATTATAACTATATCTATTTGTTTAACATAAATGCACTTATTAATCTTGTTTTATCCAGAAGAGCCTATAAATGGTTAAACTTGCACTGATAGTGAGAATAGTAGAGGCATGAGAATAGTAGAGTCATGAGAGATTCCTTAGAATGAAATCTATTTCCAGGAAAAAAACTCTGATATAATTCTTCTATTTAAATGTGAGAAAGGGGAGGCGCTGAATGACCATGTATGGTAATACTTTTGTTGGTCAAAATAAAAATACTCAGTCCTTATCTTTAAAATAGGTCATGCCAGAAAGGGCATCCAATTGTAAAAAATGTTTCATACCTTGCATGTCATATTTAATGATGTAAAAGATATACACACACCTAAACATTTTTTGCTGTTGGAGTGGAATAAATACAACAACAAAAACAACAAAAAAGGTTTTAAAAATGATTTACTACTTTTTTGTAAAATTAGGTTTTATAAAAAGAAAAAATATAGATGTATGTTTCAAACAAGTATATATATGCGTATGTAATATATAAATGCTTTAGTACAGTACAACCATTTATTTTATGCATTATTTCTATGGCGCAAACATGCTTTTAAAAAAAAAGAGTTATAAGGTTTTATTGATGTGAAAGGAAAAAAACTGGATTAATAAAAGTTTTTATACCATGAAAAGACAGAAACAGTAACTTGTTGAATAAGAAGCCAAGCAAGAATAAGTTTTGGTTTATCGTAATGGAGATGATAGCTCGTTTGAGCATTGACCATGATTGTATTTGTTAAAAAAAAGAAAAAAATGCAACTTTACAACAATGGGAGAGTGGCTCAAGCTTGGCAGATAAAGCAGGTCTAACTACATTTACAATGTGCTTTTAGACCTTGTCTGAGAGTAAGAGGGTTGTTATTCATCAATATAGAATGCCAACAATATTGCAATCTTTATATAAAAATTGCAATATTGTTGGCATTCTATATTGCAATTTTTTATATTGCAATTTTTATATAAAAATTGCAATATAAAAAGCATTTAAGATTAAACTTATTAAATTGTAATCTTTTGAAATTAAATACAGGCTTTCACAGGAAGGCATGCCATTTCACGTCATTATATGACCATGCAAATTACATTTTGCTTTAGTCATATAATGACGTGAAATCATTTTTGTGACGTGAAATCATTTTTGAAATGCAATTTTTTTATTTTTTAACAATTTTTTATTTTTTAAAAACGTTTATTTTAAAAATGAACACTTAATTTATATGTTATAAATTAAAAAAATATACTCAAGTGTCAATTATATTTAAAAAAAAAAACATTTTCAGTGAATTGTTACTTTATTTAAAATCATTTCGCTAATATAAAAACATTTGTTTAGAAGTTTTGATGTAATTCATTTCACTTTTTTAGAATATTTTTCATTGAGCACGTTTTTAAAACGTTTTTTGAATTAGCCGCGGTCAAACCGTCAAAGCAAAATGTAATTTGCATGGTCATATAATGACGTGAAATCGCATGCTTTCCTGTGAAAGCCTGTATTTAAGTTAGGAGTTACCAGTAAACATAGAATATTGATAAGGAAAAAGAAAACATGGAAATGTCATTTAAAAACTGAATGTTTTGTAATTGTATGAGTTGTAAAAACATGGAGGAGAGTTCCAAAGCATTAACGTACACAGAAAAAACTAGATAAATGAAAGTTTTTTAGCATATAGGGACAGATACAGTAAAAGTATGTAACTTTGCTGAACGTTGAATCAAGTGATATAAATAATATTAAAATAGTGGTAAACTGTTCTAAGTAATAAAATAAAAGATTTTAACAACTGGGCTAAAATTTTAAGTAAACAAAGCATAAGAACAACAGACAATTTAAAAATGAAGTTTTATTAACTTTTAAATTAATGATCTTTTTCAAATTTATTAATATTTGCATGCCAATACTTAAAGAGATTTAGGTATTAGGAATATGCTATAGTATAGCAAAAATAAGTTGATTTTTGCATCAGTATTGCCAAATGCTGACCTAGATTTCAAAGGCTGTGCTGTTGGTAATTAAGATAATAAAATAGTTTAGTATAAAATAATAAATAAAATTAGTAGCCATTTCCTTTATTTTCAAGTTTTAAAAAACTAATTAGTTCAAAATCTGTTGGTCCTTCAAAAAAAAAAAAAATTAATAATGATGATGATTAATTAAAGTTATTCTGGCACATAGACTGACACATAACGTTTATATAAGTTTATATATAAGTAATTTCACATATGTTAACTAAAAATTAAGGTTATAAATAATTATATTTGTTAACTAAAAGGTCAAAACCTGTAGATTATTAGTCAAACTTATAAAAGTTATAAATTCTTTGATAACATTACCTCAGATTCAGTGACTGTATCCGGAAGCTTAATAATACTCGCATTCATCCCTAGCTATTAAAAGAACAATAGGTATATAAGTAACCAGATCTTCTGCAAAAAATGACTTTAAAATTTGGAGAAACTTTGACAACACCTCTTGTGCAAATTTTAGCTTGGTTCGAACATACACATTTGAGTCTTCTCTATTTCCAACCTAAATAAAAAATCTTGAAAATATAAACAAGTAAACAGCCATCATCATCATCATCATCATGGATACTTTCTTTGCATAGGAAGAGTAATAATTTCTAATAAATATTGATTTAGTACAAACCAAATAATTTAATATATTGTAAGTTGAGAACCAAGAGGCTGTATGTCTAAGTTTTGTATTTTTTCTGTTTATTATCAATAAATATTTGTCAACCAGTAAAGTGTCTAGAGTTATAGAGTTGAGTTCATGTTTCAGAGTTATAGAGTTGAGAGAGGGTTATAACCACTATTAAGTAGCCTCCTCATCTGTAGTGGCCTTGTCGGCCTTGAGGAGGTGAATAAAAAAAAAAAAAAAAAAAATCTAACTTTTATTTAACAACAAAGATGACAAAAAAAATGAATTCCAGGAGGATTAAATTTCATTTAAATAAATTTATTTTTTTAATTATCATTTTAAATGGATCAGAGTAGAGATCCCTTTAAATGGGTCATCTAAATGACCCATTTAAAGGGATCTCTACTCTGACAAGTTAGTATTATTAAATTAAAATTGAAAAAAAAAAAGTTTTGTTAATGAAGACAAGTGCCATATTATCTGAACATCATTGACAAACTTTATTAGTAATATTTATATTGGTTGTATGTAAATTATGATATTTTAATTAATTATGATTTTATTTATATAGTTTAGGGATTTTTCTAAAAGGGGTTGATAATTTTATATGGTCATAACTTTTTATCTCTGAAAAATTATTCTGTGAAATATGAAACTTGCTAATTTAGTTAAATTTAGTATAAAATTGTAACAAAAATTAAATAATTAACTCATTGCCCTCACTGTTAGGGTAAGGGGAATAACATTTTAGGGTATTTTTGTTCCCAGGATAAAATCACCAGAATTTTTTGAAAAAGGTTATTATTTGACATTACCATAAACATACTTAAGTTTGGAGTTTGCACAATGTCTTAAAGTGTCAAATCTGCAAAACTAAAAAATCAAAATTGCCCCACTAAACAGCCCGTCGTTCAGAGTAGTCAAAACCTAATTTTGATGTCAGAAATGGATTTCCTGACCCCAAAAACATATGATTAGATGTATAATATGATTATATTTAGACGTTTTATATTTTTGCATATTTTTTTTTTATTCAGGTCCACTGTGCGCTGCAACTGCTTGTGATCAAGGCTGCAACGACTAGTTATTAAAATTAATTGACCAATGCGCTGGTGGCGGGTGTTTATTATTTATTTAATTACTAAAAACAATGACTTGAATAAAAAATTTTAAGCAAATTACATATACACTTTTGTAAAGTAATTTTTTGTTAAATTTTCAAAATTTGGTCAAGTCAACCTTTGACAACATGCGGCGACCAGGGAGGCAAGTGAGGGCAGAAAACTTTTTTATAAAGGGTTAGTTAAAATAATAAAGTATGCATTGAAATTATTTTCATTTTAACGTATTATAACGTGTGGTAAATCTGTTACCGCAAATTTTATTTTACATGAAAAATCGCAAAAACTATGTCCTAATAATTAAAAAAACCTGCTAAAAAATTAAAAATCTCTATTTTTTTTTAAATAATTATAAAATTAAAGGTAAATATGTATAAATATTTTCCAAAAAAATTCCATCAGCGTAGATTATTTTTAAATGTCACAAATGTATTGCCAGTATTTACAAGTTTTTCATGTTTTTCACACATATTTTAACAACTTTTAGACTTTAAAAGGTTTACAAAAATGATCATGTGCATTATAAAATAACCATTCATTGCAATTTACATATGCATGTTAATTGGAAATGATTAAAAAAGTCAATATACGACCTTTCATTTTGACTTTTTTGCTAAACTCTGGTCTACAGTGAAATGTGTACAAAGCTTTCACAAAATTAAAATAAAAGTGCACATGGCTTCATGTAATAAAATTTGTCTAATTAAAAAAAATTTTAAGGTTGTGTTTTTTACGTGAAATCTCAGGATGGTCAAAATTCGAAGTTAATGTGAGGTGGTACACATGGGTTCATTAGGGGATTTGATAAAGAGTGACCTTTGTTTTAATTTGAAAGTTATAAAACTATGTTTGTCTACATTATTCTTGATAAACTAAATGAAAACTAAAATAAAAGTCAATTATTATTATATCTATTATTATTTATCTACATTATTTTTAACAAATGAAATGAAAGTCTATACAAAAAAAGAAACTATAAAAAAAAAAAAAAAAAAAAAAAAAGAAACTATGCAATATGCAAATTTTTATTCGAAAATAGACTTTTTAGTATTGTTTTCAAAAAGTTTTAATACAATACTTCTAAACAGTGTTATATTATGTTAAAATAATTTAAATATGTAAATTTTAAATATTATAAATTAAAAGTACAAAAATTATTTGATTTCACTAAGTGAGTTAATTGTTTTTTTAAAGATAAAGATGTATACATTAAAAAATTCAAAAGTTAGAAATCAGATTAAAATTCTAAAGTTAGAAACCACACTAGTTATTATTTCAAACATATAGTTTTTTGATAATTTTTTTCATAGTTAGCAACTTTATTATTTTACAATTTCATTATTTTTTAAGAAACATTTTTAAAAGCATTGTTGATCGAGTGATCTTTAATATTTTAAGTGAGCTCTTATAAAGTTTTGTTACAACCAAACTATAGTACAGTCATTTTTTTCTAACTTGTAGCTGACAAAGTTTTTCTTGACTTTTTTTTGTTTGTTTGTTTAAACTGTTATCCTTTTTGTTTAAACTGTTATTATTATTATTATTATTATTATTATTATTATTATTATTATTATTATTATTATTATTATTTAAATATAGTAGGTTTTTAACTCTTTTTTTGTAGACTTTGTTTATTCAAACTTTTGTGAAAGTTTTGTATACAATTCAACAAATTTTAATAAAAAATCATTTAACTATATAAACAAAATTACCAATATTTTATTATAGATATTTTTTTAACATTGTTATTATAGTGTTTTATGTGTGTTTTATGCGCCAACCCTCTCTGAATGCCATACCTCGACTTTCTAGAACTCTTTAACTCCAAAACATAAACCTTAACAAACATGGCTGCAACACAGAAAAACATATCAATAAAATAAATAGCCAAATGAAATAATATATTCAAAATGATTATTTTTATAAGTATACAATTTCATAAAAATATATATTTGACATAGTAAGATTTTTAAATATTTGCAATTTGAAACAAAGTTCTTGAATTCTTAGAGACTAAATTAACAACATTGTGTGGATACATCAACTCCAAATGTGTCATTTTATAAAAAGGTTTTATAAGTAACCCAATTATGAAGTAAACGAAGATGAAGTATTTTCAACAACCTTGCTATACAAGTTATGTCTAGTTTAGATTTTCATGCTTTTAAATCATTATTTTTGGTTTAATTCAAACACACTTACAGCATGGTTTAAACATATGTTAATAAACCATGACGCCAGACCTTTTTTTTAACAATGACCCTGTGCATATTCTATCATTAAATTAAACTCTGTTTATATATTTTTAGTTGCCTTATTAAAAAAGTCATTTACTTATTTTAAAATGTTATAATATATTGGTTTCAACTTTATAATAATATTTATATTTTTGATATGTATATTATTTAAATATTTAAATTTAATGTTAACTTTTTTAAATTAATAATTTTTTATCCATACCTGTACTATACGCAATCCTGGAGTAACGCCTTTTTCAGAAATAAGTTTTTCTACATCTAACTTGATGTTATTTCGAATTTTCCTGAAATGTTTTAAATTCATACAAATTTTATAACTATAACTTATCAACAATTAAATTCAATAACAATCATTCAACTATGTGATCACATCAACAAACAATATGACATAATAACAAAATAATATATTTCAATAAACAACTTCACAACAAAATTTGTGCGAGGACAAAAAAAACAAAAGGGAAAAAAAAAAAGCAATCAACTACCACAAATAAAATAAACAATGGAAAAAAAGAAGAATATAAATGATGATATAAAAACTTAATTTCAAAATTTCAATTTTTCATTAAAACTTACTCAAATAATTTTTTTTTAAATCTAACTTAACCATATTCATTTATCCAAGGCAAAGGAAACCAATACAATCAAAAGGTTTAACAATTTTTTTTTAGGGTTAAACAACTTATTTAATTTGTCTGAGCAAAAAATAAAATCATAAGTATAGATCAAGTATCTGTCCACCAAATGACAAATAAAGGTACAAATATCATCTACAAAAGACTATTACAGGCTTTGCTATAAACACAAAATATGTAATGCATGAGTGTAATGGGATATGAAACAACATAAATTTATTTTATTTTGCCAGCAAAAATTAATTTTTTAGAGGCCAAAATAGCATTCTCATTCATTCCATGTGCCTGTTATATTTTTGCTGGAAAGGTAAAGCAGGAGGAATTAATCCTGCAATAAAATGAAAAACAATTTAAAGTAGAAGTGTATTTATTCACATAAAATGTTAATATGTTATTTTAAAATAAAAAACAAACAAATTGAAAATCATGTCATAAAAGCAAAGTGTTTTTTGTTTTAAGTGAAAGCAGTTGCAATAGTATTACTATTTTAAAGTTTCAGGGCTTTTTAAAGTTGAAAGCCCTGATAATTGTAAAGCTAGTGGTTTATAAAACCACTATAAAACCATATTTTGAACCATGAAGAGATTTAATTTCTTGTGGTTATTATTAAGAAACTTAAAAAAAAATTTTAAAGTAGCTATTCAATAGATACTTAAATATACGTTGTAATAAATAATTTTATGTAGTGTAATTGGACATGAACGCTATTCAAAATGTTTCAAAGTATAAGGTTTTTTAAAATGCAATAGTTACATTTTGAATTAGATTTCCTTTTCAATTTAAAATGCTTTTCAAAATTCTTTTTCAGATCAAAATGCAAATGATACCAATTCTGATAAAAAAACAAGCAACAATTTCACTATTAAATAAACAGTTAATTTTTAATGAAAATATGTTTTTTAATTTGTCTTAATCATTCCCTTAAGCTTGCCTTTAAAAATGCATTTGAAAAAATTGCAGCATTTAGAAATTGCAAAACCTTGCTAAAATTAATTTTTTTATGAACTTTCTCCTAATAATTTTTAGAGAATTAAAAATCATATGAGAAGCTTGAAAACGGTTTAAATAATTTAAAAAGTTTAAAAGCCTGCAAAATTATACTGTATCATTGGCTTGAACAGAATGGAATGCAAAGACACTTGCCCTAGTCAAATATGGTACATATATTTTTTATACAGAGTCTCTCAGTCAAACAGATTCTCAGCTTTTAAAATGAGTTGAATCAAAGGGTTTCTTCAAGTCTGGAAAAATAATTTTTTGTAATACTTTTATTACATTATGTATTATATATTGTAAACATTCTAGCGTTGTTGAAAAAGTTGAATATTCATTAAGTGTTTTGTATGAATGCAAATATCCTGCCATTTATCAATTGTTCAGTTAAAAATACAAAACATTGTCTTAATAAATAACCATCAAGAAATAAAAATTATTCATTCATTTTTCTACATTCTCAGGTTCTAAATTCAATCTCCATTTGGAATCAACCATTATAACAATTTAAAGCAATAATGTTAACTCTTTCACTACCGCAGTTTTTTTTTTTAAACTTTTTGCCATGACCGCTCTAATTAAAAAAAAATCATCACATACTATACAAAACTAATAGATATTCAAGTAATAATTCTTATTGAAAACATAACAAAACTATATATATATATATATATATATATATATATATATATATATATATATATATATATATATATATATATATATATATATATATATATATATATATATAAAAACCTGAGGAAAAGAACTTTCTAAATATATAAAACTTAAATACACTGTATTAATTACTAAAAACTACAAAGAGTTCAAAAATATTATTTTTTATTGGAAGAAAAAATGTTTTAATCAAAAACAAAATTCTTTTATACAAATTAAGAATAAAATAGTTTAAAAAACATTTGTAACAACTAATATAGGCAATAGAATCTATCATAAGCAATACATAATAGTTTTACTTTTCTTTAGAGTACAGAAAAAAGTGAAAACCAACTTTTTTTAGAATTGTATTTTGAAAAATTAAAACAAAAAAATCAAATAGTTTATAAAATGTGCATTAAGCAAAAACTTAAAAATTCTGAACACTTCCAATGATAAAAAAAATTTATCTGAAATGGTAAATCAAAAAACAATCCCTAGGGTGCAAATGAGGTTCATTACTGCAGCCAGAACATACAAAATTTGTGCTCTTTCTATTAGAAGGAGTACTACAGACTACACAAATTCTATCGCTTTCAACATACTTAATCAAATGTCTTGTATTGTTATATCTTTCCAGGACTTGATTTGAAATTTGTTGAACTCTGTTTAAAAGTGTTGAATTATCAGGCATCATTTTAACACACGAATTAACTAGTTCTTCAATAAGATACTCCTTTAATTTTTTTAGACTAATTCTTTTTGAATAATTTGGACGAGTTAACAAATATAATATGTAAGAGTTAACTTGAGTTACTTCCATCAGCCAATTAAAAATTCTTTTCCACCACTTAACTGTCTTTCTATCAAGATTGCTGTAATATGACACAGATTGGTCTAAACGATCACAACCATTCATTGATTGATTGTATCGGTGAATAATTTCTGGTATTTCTCTGACTCCTCTGTGACGAGAAGATACTGCAACATCATTTTTTATAAACTTAGTAGAAACAGCTACAACTGGTTTTTTAGCTTTTTTATATTGCCACTGAACAAGTAGAATTCCAGATTCACTGCAATAATAATTTTTTTGTAGATATTTCAATACGATCTTTGTACGATCTTTTTGGAACTTGATATTATCTGGAAAATTCTTGCGATTAGTTTGCAAGGTTCCTGTGTAATGAAATGATTTAGATGTTAGATAGGTTATCAAAGAGTGTGTCGTGTAATATCAATCTGCAAAAATATGGTGACCCTTTCCAAGAGGTTCAAGCAAATATTCAAAGATTTTTCTGATTGTCCCATTCCTTTTGTATCGGAGTTATAGGATGTATCGCTTCCAAAGTACGTAAGGATATTATAGGCATAACCAGTAGCACTGTCACACAAACCAAATGTTTTAATATGGTATTTGCTTGGTTTGCTGGGGTTATATTGTTTATTTTTCCATCTACCCTTAAAATACCCTGACCATTTCATCAATAGAAACATCTTCGTATGGATAAAATGCTTTTTGATAATTTGCGATAAGATTTTTCATAAATGGTTCAATTTTTTCTTTTGCGTGGCTCTCTTGAGACGGAGCAACATGAAGCATTCTATGGTATATTGCCTCAAATCTATTTCTTGGAAACATAGAGTTTTACCACGGAGTGCGATATATATCAGTTATTGACCAATAGCCTTTAATTGAGGGTCTTTTATCTAATCCCATAGCAATCATGACAGCGATGAACTTAACAATATCATATCTATTAATTGGGGTCCAAGAAGAACATGTAGATGAAATTAAACATGCACTATTTATTTGCATTTTGTAAAAGGCAAAAGAATTAACGAACTCAACTAATTCATCTTGAATTTTGTCACTAAGAAGTTCTTTATAACAGTCCAAAATAGTTGAGTTTTCATCGAGTTTTGCATTGACTCCAGGATTATAAGAAGGACAAAAACGAATCGAATGTGTTGGAATATCATTGTAATCTTCATCAAGAAGTACCCACAAACCAATATTGTCACAATTATGGGATATACCATCTATAAACTTTCTTTTTCTTTTATTTATAGGAGCTTCTGTGGAAGAAGTTGTGATAATCAAAGGGGACGAAACAGTTTCTTCCTCATTTAAAAATTCAAAATCTTCTGAGCTAGAACTGCTTTCAAACTCACTTTCTGATTCACTATGATCTTCATTTAACCACTCAAGCATTATTTTAGAAGCTTCATTGGCACTATAAGTTACTTTCGACGACTTCATTTTGCTAGTAGATTTAAAAAATCAGAAACTTTGTAACAAAATCTTGCAATAATTTATGCAATATGGCTTTTATTTTTTACTAATTATGCAGAGAATTAAGTAAACCTTTTGAATAAACCAATGAAAAGAGTCATAAGTTAGTACTATTAATCAAAACATGATAAATAGTGAAGCATATCAAAAAGGCGCTACCAGCGGCTTGCGGTCAAAAAAATTGAAAATCAAAAGCCGCTGTCAGCAGCTTGTGATAGTGAAAGAGTTAATGCTAATAGAAATTATTTATCATGCAATATAAAGCTAATTAGTTTACACTAGGTTACATCAAATCAAAATTTTAAAGATGTTTTTAGTCGTATTTATTTGAACTTTGAAATAAAGTATTTTCAATCAATTCTATAGTTTTTGATATATATGATTATTATGATTCTTAACCAGCATAAACTTTTTTTTAACATATTCAATCATACGAAAAATTTAGGAGAAAAAGGATGGTAAAAACACAAGGGTGTCCTCATCTCTTTTTTTAAAAAAAAAAACAACAAATTATAATGAACAAATTTAAGTTAATTTAATGCTTGTGATAATGAAGATAATGACAAAGATAATTTATAATATAAGAATATAAATTTGTTTAAATTTTTGTATATATAGCTGTGAATAAGAAAGGGCTGGCTTGTTTATTTAGCCATCACAACATTTTAGAGGTGCTAATTGTTCAATAAACTTAAAGGAGTCC